GTTGGCCCCTGTTTGAGACGGGAGACTGGACTAGAGGGGCCCTGTGAAAGGGATCTGGGTGTTCTGGTTGATCACAAGCTACACATGAGCCTGCAGTGCAATGTGGCTGTGAAGAAAGCGAATGCAATCTTAAGATGCATTAACAGAAGCACTGTGTCCAGACCACGGGAGGGGGTGGTTCCGCTCTAGTCTGTGATGGTCAGGCCTCACCTGGAGTCCTGTGTCCAGTTTGGGGCACCACATTTTAGAAACGATGTTGACAAGCTCGAGCGTTCCCAGAAGAGGGCAACCAGACCTGCAAGCTCGCGCCCAGCAGAACAATTCGGTCTTTAACCACCCTGCCTCAGAGCAGACAAAATGTGAGGGAATTGGATATAGGCTGTGAGGCTTTTGCAAGCCATTTTGAAGACAAAGTCTTGTCGCTCCGCCACGACCTCCCAGCCACACTTGAGACAGTATGGGTGATTTCCCACATGCGCTGCTCCACGCTCACGCCTCCCTTTTGCCCCATGGTACAGACTGATCGCAACGGTACGCCCAACCACATGCAGCCTTGACCCGTGCCCCTCCTGGCTAATTAAAGCTGGCCGCGAGGGGTTTGGCGGCACCCTTAGGGACGTTATCAACCAGTCCCTCGTTGAGGGCCTATTCCCAGGGGCTCTCAAGGAAGCGATGGTCCGCCCTCTCTTTAAAAAACCATCCCTGGATCTGGCCGAATTAGCCAATTACCAGCCGGCTTACAATTTGCCCTATTTGGGCAAATTAATAGAGAGGGCGGTGGCGATACAGTTGCAGAGCTTTCTGGATGATGCTTCCACGCTGGATCCCTTCCAGTCCGGCTTCCGCCCGGGTCACGAGATGAAGACAGCACTGGTCGCCCTCACAGATGACCTCTGGAGGCATCTGGATCGGGGCGGTGCTCTTGGGGGGCGGGGGCTACAGGTCTGTGTTGATGCTAAAGCCGCAGCAGAGTCCAACAGAAAACACAGTCGTGTGGTTTTTACAAGAACACTTTTATTGGTAGAAAAGGGTCCACCAGAACCTCCCTCTCTTCCCTGCCCCCCCAACAGCAACCCTAGGAGAGGCATCTCCGTGCTGGAGACAGGGGCAGCCAGCGGCAGGAACGGCTCAAGATTTAAAGGGTAACCAACAGGAGGTACGACCAGAGTTCCCTCTAAGCTGAGCTAGTGCGAGCCAGCTCACAGTTTTTTAGCCTCCAGCTCACATGTTTCTGTCTCAGCTCAGGAAGGATGGGGCTCCAGAACAAACCGATTGATGCAGCAGCCAAATCCCTCGCTCACTGCTTTATTGCCAGGAGCTCAGAAAGTAGAATTTTTGCTCACAGGGCCCCACAGCTTAGAGGGAACATGTATGGCCCGATCGAAAGGTGTCCTCCGGCACAAGCCTCACTAGGAACTGAGCGCCTGCCCTGGGTCCTGCTTTCAGGAGGGCCTGCCGGCCTGCCATAGAAGAGCAAGATCTGAGTCAAGGAGCAGCTGAGAGGCCAAGGAGGGACCAAAGCTCCTTCCCTCAGACACATCGGACTCCTGAAAGCTCATCCCCGGGAACTCCCCTCCGCCTGTAAGGTGTTCCTGCCCTTGCGTTTCGGTGCAGATTTTCCCAAGGGGATTAAGCCCAAAGGGCAGATTTACCAGCTTGCCCGCCCACCTCTTATCCCCTCAGGGCACCCGGCATCTGCTTGAAGCCAAAAGAAAGCAAGCGCAGGGCCCCCGGGCCCCCACCTCTCCGGGCAAGGAAACGGCCGGTGGCGCTACACCTTGCAAGGAGGGGGCAGGCTGAGGGCTGCTAGTGGCCAGGCGCTGAAGCCGGGGAGCCCTTCGGGGCAGAAGGGAAAAGGGCCGGGGAAGGGAGCAGGAGCGGGCCTGGCACGAGGGCCTTCCGGCACCCTGCACGGAGACGGAGGAGATTGGATTTATACCCCGCCCTCCCCTCGAAGTCTCAGAGCGGCTGACAAACTCCTTTCCCTTCCCCTCCCCACAATGGACACCCTGGGAGGCAGGTGGGGCTGAGAGAGCTCTGACAGAAACAGCTTTTTTTCCCCCCAAGGACAGCTCTTATCAGAACTCTGGCTTGCCCAAGGTCATCCAGCCAGGTGCAAGTGGAGGAGCGGGGAATCAAACCCGGTTCTCCCAGATTAGAGTCCACGCACTTCACCACCACACCAAACCGGCTCTCCGTTTCCTGCCAGCCCTCCTTCCTGACAAACCCACCCAAGTTCTCTGCAAGTCCATGTTTGCAGAGGAAACCTACCAGGGCCCTGGGGCCCAAACACAGCTGACAACTGCAACGTGAGAAAGGCAGACGGGTAGCTGGAGATCAGCCTCTGAGCAGTGTTCCCTCTAAGCTGAGTTAGTGTGAGCTAGCTCACCATTTTTTAGCCTCCGGCTCACGCATTTTTGTCTTAGCTCAGGAAGGAAGGCTCCAGAGCAAAGTAATTTATGCAGTAGCCAGATTGCTTGCCCGCCACTTTAATGCCAGTGGCTCACAAAGTAGAATTTTTGCTCACAAGACTCCACAGCTTAGAGGGAACATTGCCTCTGAGAGAGAACGGGCCTGGCCAGGCGTCTCTTCCTTGGAGACTCCTGCAGGCCTGGGCTGCTGGAGCCAAGCCAATCCCACCTCCACCTCCAGCCCCCTTTAACCTGGCTCCCCCGGGGGGGGGGAGGGAAGCTGGACCACCACGCTCTCTCTACTCTCCCTCGAGGAGACTCGCCAAGGGCTGCTGGAACCCAGCGAGGTCTCCACCAGTGTTCCCTCTAAGCTGACTTAGTGTGAGCCAGCTCACACTTCTTTAGCCTCCGGCTCACACCTTTTTGTGTCGGCTCAGGAAGGATGGGGCTCCAGAGCAAACTGATTTGTGCAGCAGCCAAATCGCTCGCTCACAACTTTAATGCTGGGAGCTCACAAAGTAGAACTTTTGCTCACGAGACTCCACAGCTTAGAGGGCGCGTGGGTCTCCACTTCCCCCACCCATGCGACAGATGTAGAGAAGGGCCTCTGCCAACTCTCCTGGCTTGACTGGCACTCACCCAAAGAGCTAGGGAGGCCTTTCCTTGCACTCGCAAAGCTCAGGAGCCTCTTCCAGGGCTCCGCGTCCGACAGAAACAGAGCTCCTGCTTCCTTTATAGCATGGATGATGCGGGGGAGGGGGGACAGGGCCTTGGCTGTGGTGGCCCCCTTAAAAAATCACAAATGCTTTGAGAGGCGGACTGACTACAATGCCAGGGAGGAGGGCCGGGGTGCAGTCCCTGCCATCTCCAGCTAGAGGGCCTCCAAGGAAGGGTGCTGGGAACCAGTGTTCCCTCTAAGCTGAGTTAGTGTGAGTTAGCTCCAGGGGTCATTTCGTAGAAAAAAAGGTGCAGCTCATTGGCATAACTCATTAGCATATGCCACACCCCCTGACATCACGGGAAGTGTGTCAGAAGGCAACACCCACCGCTCAGGCTCCACTGGACTCTTTTGGATTGCTAGCTATTGGGGGGGGGGACTGGCGTACGTGCATATCTGTCCTTGTAGAGGAGGGAGAGCTTGTACCTGAATAAAACCTGGTCTTAGAGGTGCCACTGGACTGTTGGGGGCCGGGGGGAGCTCTGCAACTTACCTGGCTGCTTCTTGCTCTGACTGAGGGCTGCTGGGAGCAGGGGGTGGGGCTTGTTGCATGTGCCCGCCCCCTGGGCTCTTTACTGCCGGAGCTCCGCTCCTGTGCGCTCCTGCAGGAAATGACCCCTGGTTAGCTCACAGTTTTTTAGCCTCCGGCTCACACGTTTTTGCCTTAGCTCAGGAAGGATGGGGCTCCGGAGCAAACTAATTTATGAAGCAGCCCAATCGCTCGCTAGCAACTTTCATGCCAGGAGCTCCCAAAGTAGGCTTTTTGCTCACGAGACTTCACAGCTTAGAGGGAGCATTGGTGGGAACATCCTCGCTCCGCCCAAGCTCCTGGAGCGGGTGCCGGTCAGCCAGCACGGAAAGGACCAAGGGTTTGGAGGAAGCAGCTGCCTACAGCCACAGAATGCAGGGATGGGGGGGGGCGTGCACCGAGAAAGCAAACCCAGAGGATCCTCCTGCCTGGGCATCAGAAGGCTCACCCCCCCTGGAGCCCAAAGGGGCAACATTTCACCCGTGGGGCACAGAGGGCTCTGCTGGAAAAGGAGCACGGGACGGCTGGAGGGAGAGACCCACGGCATGCGAATGCAGGGTGGGGTGTCGAGGAACCCTCCCCTGCTCCTCCGATGGAGGGCCTGGGGGGAGAGTGCCCTGTCCTCCCCCCCCCCGCTACAGGCCCACAGAAAGCACAAGCCTCAATGTTCCATCAGAGAGGATGCTGGGAAAAACAGGCTCTGCCACTCAGGGATTGGCCTTTGCCCTGGTTCCTGTCCCCATCTCCATGAGAGGGAAGCTGGACAGCTCCTCCTTGACCGCTGGGTTCATGGGGGTGCTCAGAGGAGCCCACGTTTCCTTAGGAGGAAGGCACAAAAGGAAAACTGGGAGACGAACAGGCAGCGATGAGAAGAGATTGGATTTGTACCCCGCCCTTCCCTTGGAGTCTCGGAGTGGCTTACAAACTCCTTTCCCTTCCCGTCCCCACAACAGACGCCCTGTGAGGGAAGGTGGGGCAGAGAGAGCTCTGACTGAGAGCGGCTCTTGAGAAAACAGCTCTGAGAGAACTTGTGACTGACCCATTGTCACACCAGCAGCCGCACGTGAAGGAGGAGTGGGGAATCCAACCCGGTTCTCCAGACTAGAGTCCGCCGCTCTTAACCACGCGCCAAACTGAGCCATGCCTGGACATTTTCCTTTGTGCCGTCTAAAGTGGTGGGGGAGAAGAGCAGCCCCACCCTGTGACACGGCAGAGCTCCGCTCCTCCCACCATCCTTCCTCCTGCTGTCCTGGAATGTGTGTGTGTGTGGAGAATACTTGCTTTGGTCCCTACTAGATCAGGTGGATTCCCAGCCCCGACTCTGCCCGGTGGGTGAGAGAGGAGCAGCTGCTCAATTTATTGCCTTATCAATGACAAGAAAGTCTCAGGACCACCAAGGACAGGACAAGACATTGGGGGTGGGGGGAAAAACACTGATAACAATTTAAGAAAAAGATTATGCAAAAGAGAATAGAAAATTCAGGGTGTGCAAAACCCACTGGGGAGGGGGGGAGAGAGAGAGGAAATCCTCCATGGGGTCGGTGGGAATCCGCTGCTCCACGGGGCTGCCTTCTGAAGGATCGGGAAAAGGAACGCTTCGTACAAATTGGTTCCCCCCACAAAGAGAAGGTCCGGCTGGCTTGTCTGCAAGGGAGCCCCCGAAACAGCTGGAAAAAAGGCTCCCGCGGGTGACCCCCCCACCCAAGAGCAAAAGTGCTGGACTTCCCCGCACCAAAATCTCAGGCAAGACGCTTCCGGAGGGGCTGCCCATCACAGAGAGTGGAGGCTATTGCCTGGCCCAGCAGCTGGTGCCTCTCTGCCCCGTGGGCAGCCCGTTAAGGCCACTGTCGTCTGGTCACTTTGGGCTGCACCCCAAAGCCAGAGAGCTCTGCTGAGAAGCGACAGAAGCCCCGATGCAGGGGAGGGAACCAAGCCATTTGCATCACGGAGGGCAGTTCCCAAGGCGGAGTCGTAGACCGCTTATAGACCACCCGGCCGGTCCCCAGACTCCTTGGCCGCAAACGGGCCCTGCTGCTCAACAACGGAGCCCGACAAGCAAGCCGCCCCCCCCCTTCAAGGGGAGAAAAGGGAAGACTCTCCTCCCCAGCTTGACTTCCCCACAGGTCTTCCCCTGAGCCACAGAAGATGGCCAAGGAGAAGCCTGCCGTCTCGGGGAAGGGGCGCTCCGCTCAAAACTCAGCCGGAGCAGCTCACGCCCTTCTAGGGAGAGGCACGCTGGGAAAGTGGGAGGAGGGGTGCCCGTGAGTCGAACCTGAGAAAACAGAGCCGGGGCAGCCGGGGCGGCCGGCGTCACCCCTCCACCCCGGAGGTCGGCTGCAGCACGCGGCTTTCATCGCAGAGAAACAGAAAGGCCCAGACGCAGAACGGTGCAGCCCAGGAGGAGGACGCCTGGCCTTCCCCATGTCCATAGCAGCGCAACCAGGTGCTGGAAGGCTGGCCTTCACGTGTGCCCTGGCTGGCAGTGCCAACAGTGCCAACGCCACAGGACAACCACGAGGGCTTCTCCCCCCCTGACGCCCCTGCAGTCACACCGCTCAGTCCTTCCCTGAGATCTTGAAGCCTGCAAGGGTCACCCGACTGCGGCGGGGACTCTCCCTCGGGAGAGCCGAAGGGCTGTCGCCCCCTCACACAGAGACACGACCCACTGAGACTATAGCTCCCAGCAGAGGGACTGCATGCTGGGAATTGTAGTCTGGCGGGCCACATTCCCGTGCCCGCCACAGAAAGACACTGTGGTGAGCTCCTGTTTTGCGCCTGAAGGGAGCAGCGGCTGCCCCGCGGATCAGCTCTCGAAGAAGAAGAGTCGGCTGGTGGCAGCACCGGCCCCCGCCCTCGGGAGAAGCCAAGGCCCCGGTCCCGACTGGATGTCCCACTCGGTTGGGAGGCCCTTCCAGCTCACATCACGTAACAGCAACGCTTCTTCTCGATCGAGCTCTCTTCCACGGGGGCAGTCAGCTTGAGGAGGGGGGGCTCCCCGCTGGCCGCCGTGTAGTACACCGAGTTGGGGGCCTCCCCCGGGCCGGCCGAGAACTCCTCGGGGTGGTGTCTCTGCAGCTTGGCGGCCGCCCGCTGGCGCTTAAGGTCAGCCAGGGTGTGGTGGGCCTTCTCCGTGCTGAGCTCCTCCTGCGTGGCCAGCTGGTAGGAGACGCTGCGGTCCAGCCGCTTGGAGTACAGGTGCTTGGGGTGGGCCGTGCCGTTACGCTGGGACGCCTCCTCCCCCGGCGAGCCTCCCGGTCTCACCGCCTCCACTTCGGCCGCCGCAGGAGCCTGCTGGGACACAGGGAAGGAAGATAAAGAGGCCAGGCCATCTTGGGCTAGCTGCTCCCCCCAACCTGGCCCACAGGGGGCCCCACAGAAACAAGGCACTCTTCGGGAGGCCCACATACAGAAGACATTATGCCCTCTGCTCCCCAGGGCCCACCACACGGGGGGAGATCTTTGTGCCTCATTCCCCGCCCCCTCGCCCCCCCCACGTGAGTCTGAGAGTTTGATCTGTTTGTCAGACCTAGCTGTCATGCTAGTAATCATGTAATTACAGCCAGGAGTATTCTAGCAGGTGTTATTCTTTCAGGTCTTGTTAGAGTTAGTGATTGCATCACCCTGTTAGAGATTGGCTGGGGTTTAGCATAATAGCTATCAGTTTTGTAAGCTGGATGGGGACTCAGTTCTCATAGACTAAGGCACGACATGCTGTTCAATAGCCTGTAAATATCTCTGTATATATTCACCTTTATAACTATATAAACTCTCTGTGCACCTTCAGTCTTATTTACAACACACAATACTTTCAGAATGGTTCCATTGGGCCTTCCTCCTTTTCAGGGTAGATAGATAGATAGATACGTTTTCTTGCCTTAGCCATGGGCCATAACAAGTCACACCATGGTTGAGTTAAAAAAAATGCATCAGACTATAAAATGACACTGTAGGCACTAAAAATATCCATGGCGGCATTAAATCTTATACTCATTCTACTTTACATTAAATACTAGGCTTGTTCTGATTTTCCTTGATGCTCAGGCAAATAGCGCCGTCTACCAGAAACACAGTGGTCAAGGTCCGAGAGTAAAAATTTGACCAAATCCAGATCGGAGAGTCCATTACTTGGCGGAATAATAGGTATGATGTACCTTAGCCTAGGAGCTTCATGCCGTGGGCATCTCAAAATCATAGACTCATAGAATGTTAGAGTTGGAAGGGACCTTGCAGGTCATCTAGTCCAACCCCCTGCACTCTGCAGGAGCATAGCCGAAAGATAGCCCTACAACATACCCAAAAGGTGGTCCCAAAAGATGGCCGTCCAGCCTCCACTTGAAAACGTCCAGCGAAGGAGCCTCCACCACCTCCCAAGGCAGACTGTTCCACTGCTCAACCATTCTTACACTTAGGAAGTTTCTCCTGATATTGAGCCGGTAACGACTCCCTTGTCATTTCCACCCATTAGACCTAGTCTTGCAATCCGGAGCAAGAGAGAATAGATCTGCTCCATCTTCTACATTACAGCCCGTCAAATACTTAAAGATTGCAATCATGTCCCCTCTAAGCCTTCTCTTTCCCAGGCTAAACAGACCCAACTCCTTCAGCCTTTCCTCATAAGTCTTGGATTCCAACCCTCTCACCATCCTGGTTGCCCTCTTCTGGACACGCTCGAGCTTGTCAGCATCCTTCCTAAAATGTGGTGTAATGTACTTGATCGTCTACTTCCCCCATGTCAGGGATACCAGAAAAAGTCCAGTCCTGATCACTGAGGGTACGGATTGAAATCTTAAAGCTGTAAAAGCCAATCTTTTCAGGGAGTGAGTTTTCTTTTCCACGTCCTCTGAGGGAGCGTGACAAGCTAAAGCTAGTAGACTGCTCAGCTATAGCCTTTTCCCTCATTAATCCCCTAATTATGCCATCTTGGGTTCCTGGGAGCTAAAGAACCAATCAAACAAAGAATCTAAGATATACAGTTCTTCAAGTGGATAAAAGCCGGGGGGGGCAACTTTATCCAGCAGTAGGGGACCAAGGTCACAGTTCCGCTCCGGCGAATGACCTCTGTCCCTTAGAATTTCCTACATGCCGCAGAGTATTTACCATGGCCCATTTCAACATTCTGCGTTCAGCTCTGCTGCAAGGGAAATATCGAGGTACCTTTTATTCCTGTCATAGAATCACAGAGTTGGAAGGGACCTCCAGGGTCATCTAGTCCAACCCACACAAGAACTCAAGAGAAGCCAATGTTGGGTCAGGCCAGTGGCCCATCCAGTTCAACACTCTGTGTCACACAGTGGCCAGAAATACCAGGTGCCATTCGAAGGCCCAGCAGTGGGGTCAGGGCACTGGAAGCCCTCCCACTGTTGCCTCCCCCCCAAGCACCAAGAATACGGAGCATCCCTTGCCCCAGAGTTCCTACCTACACCTTGTGTCTCATAGCCATTGATGGACTTCTGCTCCATATGTTTATCCAATTCCCTCTTGAAGCTGTCCATGCTTGTAGCCGCCAACACCTTCTGTGGCAGTGGATTCATGTGTTAATCACTCTTTGGGTGAAGAAGGACTTCCTTTTATCTGTTCTAACCCAACTGCTCAGCAATTTCATTGAGTGCCCACAAGATCTTGTATTTTGAGAAAGGGAGAAAAGTACTTCTTTCTCGACCTACTTGCACAATGCAGGAAATTCACAAATACCTTCCCCTCCACACTTGCAGTGACCTGTGTTCCAAGCCCAGATGACAAAAAAACCTCCAAGATCCCTGGCCAAACCGGCCTGGACTGCTTTTGTTTTTTAATGCCATGGAGACAGTTGAGCGCATGTTTCTTCATTTTATAAAGATATTCGTTCTCCATCTAGGTAAAGGTAAAGGTTCCCTTTCTCGAAAGCCAGTTGAATCTGACTCTAGGGTTGTGGTGGTCATCTTCGTTTCAAAGCCGAAGAGCCAGCGCTGTCTGAAGACGTTTCCGTGGTCATGTGGCCGGCATGACTAAACACCAAGGCACATGGAACGCTATTACCTTCCCACAGAAGTGGTACCTATTTATCTATTTGCAATTTCTTGCTTTCGAACTGCTAGGTTGGCAGGAGCTGGAAATGGAGACAGGAGCTCACTCCATCATGTGGCACCCGGATCTCGAACTGCTGAACTACTGACCTTCCACAGCCTGCAGTTCAGCATCTTAACCACTTGAGCCACCGCAGCTCCAATACAAACCCCTATTTTATCCAAATTTTCGGGTAGATCTGATAAATTTTATATACATATCCACTTTCCTTGCAGGTTGCCTTAATGAAATCCCTTTTATGGTGGACAAACTTTGCACTTTGGCTCCACTAATAAGTAAGCAGATGCCGCCATCCTTTTATTAATTGCCTTGCATTGCCAAAATTAGTACTTAACTAAGTTAAGAATTTAGTGGGAAGCCATGTTGGTCTGAAGCAGCAGAACAACTGAACTGAAAAGAAATCAGCCGGTATCGTCATGCCCCTGTATAAATCAATGGTGCGGCACCATTTGGAATACTGCATACAATTCCGGTCACCGCACCACAAGAAAAACATTTTAGCATTGGAAAAGGTTCGACTAAAATGATGAAGGGACACTTTCCCTGTGAAGAAAGGTTAAAGAGATGAGGGCTCTTTAGCTTGGAGAAACGACGACTGAGGGGTAAAATGGGAGAGGTTTACAAAATTATGCGTGGGGCAGAGAAGGCAGAGAAAGGAGGACTTTTCTTCCCTTTCTTGCAATACAAGAACTCAGGGGCACTCCATGAAATTAATGAGCAGCAGGTATAGAACAGATAAAAGGAAGTGCTTCTTCACCCAAAGAGGGATTAACTTGTGGAATTCACTGCTGCAAGGTGGTGGCGGCTACAGGCACAGACAGCTTCAAGAGGGGATTAGATAAACATATGGAGCAGAGTTCCATCTGTGGCTGTTAGCCACCAGGTACAGCTGGAACACTCTGTCTGGGGCAGCAATGCTCCGTATTGTTGCTGCTGGATGGGGGCACAAGTGGGAGGGCTTCTGGAGTTCTGGCCCCACTGGTGGACTTCCTGGTGACACCTGGGTTTCGGCCACATGGTTTCTCTTATGTTCTTAACAAAGTTTGAGCCCAGCGGCACCTTTAAGACCAACAAAGTTTTATTCAAGGTATAAGCTTTTGTGTGTACGCACACTTTGTACGCACACAAAAGCTTATACCTTGAATAAGAACACAAAAGAAGCCAATGCTGGATCAGGCTAATGGCCCATCCAGTCCAATGCTCCTGTGTCACACAGTGGCCAGAAATACCAGGTTCCATCAGGAGGTCCAGCAGTGGGGCCAGGACACCAGGAGCCCTTCCACCGTTGCCCCCTCCCCAAGCACCAAGAATACAAAATGACCCCTGCACACAGCAGCCAAAACCGTTGCCCCCAACTGAGAGTTCCTATCTCTATAGCTCAATCTCGTTTTCCCCGACTTGGACACATATTGACCCAATCAATGCATAGGTAGTTAAAATCACCTATTACGACACAGTTATTTTGTCTAGCCGCTGTCTTTAATTCATTCATCATTTTATACTCCTCCTCTATTTTTTGATCTGGTGGGCGATACATCACCAACTTTGTTGGTCTTAAAGGTGCCATTGGACTCAAATTTTGTTAAGAATTTTTATTCTTCTTTATGTGTTTTTGTTGGTGTTGAGCTCGTGCCCTGTTGTTGGCTGATCTTGGATGGTGACTAATGACATGAAGGCTGTTGTCATCCCACGAGAACCAGCAAGGTTCCGTTCTAGGGGGGGGGCACTGAGAACTGACGGTGCCTCTTAAGACTGCTTTGCTTCCAGCAAAAGGGGCTGGAGGTGTTGCCAGGGGCGCCAGAACCCTCCCTCCCTCTCATGGCAGGGTCCGGGGGTCTGCCCCCGACTCACCGGAAGCGGCTGCTGGAGTTCGGCATCCGTCTGGCGGTCCTCGTCCTCCCCCTCCCCTTCACTCTCGCGGTGCTCCATCCGCTGCCAGACGATGGCTTCCTTCTCGTGCTCCTTGCGGTAGAGGTTGGTGCGCTCCGTCACGCTCACTCGCCGCACCACTTTCCTGGGGTGGTAGCATGCGGCATGTGGGGGTTTGGTTGGCCCGTGCCTGGGCTCAGCCACAACCAAGGGGGGCAAACTCTCGCACAGAGCGGCTGCAGCCGGATCGTGCCCCGAGCCCCAGCCAGCGTTTTGCTCGCCCTTCTCCCGCCTCCCCTCCTCACCGCTGCTGGGGACAGCACACTGCCCTGGGACAACAGTCCCCCCCCCCGTATCTCTACACCATACCCTCGGCTGCCTGCACTGGAGGTGCGGCGCTGGAGAAGAGACTTGTGCTTGTCGTGCGACTTCATGATGGCGTCGTGCTTGTGCTTCAGCTCCATGAGTTTGGCGCGCACCTCTTCGTCTCCGCAGACATCTTGCAAGGAGAGGGAATGGGGGGGAGAGAGATGCCGTTACCCTTCCCCTCCCACCCCCCTCGCGGGTATTCTTGCCCTGATCCTTCCTCCAAAATTCTCCCCACCCACTGCCCCTTTTTGGGCCAGGACGTTCTGCAATGTACCGTGCACACTGACAGTTCTACGTAGTGGTAGAGCCAGTTTGGTGTCGTGGTGAAGTGCGCGGACTCTGATCTGGGAGAACCGGGTCTGATTCCCCACTCCTCCTCCACTTGCACCTGGCTGGATGACCTTGGGCAAGTCTAGCTCTGATAAGAGCTGTCCTTGAAAAAGAGCAGTTTCTGTCAAGAGCTCTCTCAGCCCCCCCTACCTCACAGGGTGTCTGTTGTGGGGAGGGGAGAAGGGAAAGGAGTTTGTAAGCCGCTCTGAGACTCCCTTGGGTAGTGAAGGGC